AGCCCGACCAAGAAAACGCGATGTAATACAATTGATCCTTATTTCCATTTCAACTTTCTCGATCGACTTTTATTTATGTGAATCCATTATTCTAATAGCCTTCTGATTATTGCTTACATGTATTATCGTCATGTTATACTGATTAGTACTTATAACATACCATCTCAGTCGACATTAATAACTGATCATCTATATTATTTATGAGCTAAGTTGGTTTATTAACAAGTTTTGATAACATTTACATGCTTCAGTGAAATAAACTTGTCCAAGCATCAGGCTTTAGAAAATATGAAATGTGAATGACGTAAACATATATTGATTAGCAACGTAAGCAAGATCTGAATGGTTAACAGTACCTAATTCTTCATATTCGCTATTCACTTAACATTCAAATTTGTATTAAATTATGGACTATCGTGTGATATCTTTTCTTCCGACCACTGCCTACCTGATTCCCAAATACTGGGTTCCATAGGAAACAAAGGATACGAAAGCTAGAAATTTACGGTAAGTTCGAACTATAAATTTCTTGCCATCTTAGATCTCATTTAGACTGTTCGTCAGGCAATGCTAAATATTCGGTTTCAATGAATTTTGGACTTATACAAATTCAGTTTACAATGCTGTGTTATTCCAGAAATTTATTGAACAGTACCTCGTATATAATCCAGATTCCATGTACTCTAAAATTCAAACTTTTATTAGTTGGAAGCGAAAATAACCCACGCGAATTTTAGCTTTTTCCCTTTCCAGGTTATTAACTATGTCTTTAGCACTTGGTAACTTACATAGATTTTTCCTTCAGACTGGTTGTATGTATTTCATACGAGCTACTTTCAAAACGTTTCGGTAGAAATATTTAATATTTTTATACTGCAAGACACAATTAAGAAAAGCTGTGTTGTTCAAAGACATTTCTTAGTTCCAGTTGCTTTTGCAACATATTTGTGAATGTCACTAGGCTAAATGCAAGAACGTCTTATGGATATTTTATATCCCGTCATATTCCTAACTAAAGTTCCACAAGTAGTCTTAACTTTAACTTTATTTTTCTGACCATGTATATAACGTTTCAATCGTCATATACCTCAAAAACCTGCATGTAAAAAAGGCCCTTACCCACGTTGCACTTTATGTCTTTTAAATTAAAAAATCACAGGAATCGCCGTTAACATTTATCAAGAAAATCATTCCTATTCGTTGTTGCTATACGTATTTGTGTTTATGAATTGGTCTACAATATTGCCAGCCTAAAAAGTCTTACATAGTTTAGATAACCAAGTTAAACATTTAGGTACTATCAACTAGTATAATAACTGAACTCTCAGGTATTTTGTGGCTAAACAAACGTTTGAAATCAAAATTCCGATATCTACTACTAAAATTCACACCAGACGATTTGAAGTTTATAAAGTAATCAAGCAACTCGGATTCTTTAACGCCACAAACGTTCGTTATTTCATAGGCAAAGAAAACAACAATACATATTTTCAACTGGCTAATACTCAGTCAACGTTATAATTAGTTAAAGATAATGGTTTCAAGATATCGTCATCAACCATTGTCATGACAAGACAAACATGTAATATGATTGATAAAATTGAAGAAACTGTTAGCAAAATCAGTCAACAAACAGACTTTAAATTATCACTAAATGGTGTTGTTTTCTCGTTATCTTCATTCACTGAGGATGGTTACATTATGTTTCTCTATCGGTTCCCCATTATGTATTTATCTTAAAACTGTCAGCTTAATTGGAGGTTTAGCGACACTTTCACGCATGCAAATCATCAGTATTGGAAGGAGAGATCATAATAAATGTACCTTTTTTCTTATATCTCAATGGGTGGAAGAATTGCATCATTGACGTTTCATGAATGAATGTGGGCAATTTCTTTGCAGAGTAAATAAATAACCGAAATTTAACCGACAGAGATATAGCTTTGTAAGCAACAGTCCAATAAAAGATGAATTGTGTTGATGTACGCATCAAGACGTACTATGATTCCTTGCAATCTTGTCACTTACATCTCGGCGTAAATAACAAACATTCTCAGAACCACCCGACTGACGTTTTCAGATATGGATGTTACGTTCACGTATGTGTTTTGCTCGTTCCAGTTATTGAAGTACGGACTATCGATATTCGCAAATCATAAACCCAAGTAAGCAAGAGAATCAGAACTCCAAATCAGGTACCACGTTTATTCGCGATTCACAAATAATCGATCAAAGTCGTTCTAACAACAACAATTATAACAATTACAAAACAAACCTTCAATTTTGTACGTTCCCGGAGCGAAACTCCCAAATACCAAACCAAAGGCAAAGAGAACACCAAATTACCAAACCAAAATGTCCGAAATAATAATATAAACAAACAAGTTCAAAAGTAAAGTAAAACAATTAAATCCAAAAACACAGTAAATTATTAATGTACAATAAAAGGTTTTAATCCGCCAAATTTCTTCAGTTCTCCCGTAACAATGGACACGTTGAAATTTGAGTGGTCTTTCGATTGTGTTCCGATCTGAATAACACGATGAATGAGATGGTGAAGGACACGACAAATTAAAGACAAATCTCAATGGACCACAGAACTTAAAATTAATACTTATGATTCGTTACTTGATACTTGAACTCTTATTGCTATTGTTCTTTCCATAGAAGGAATACCACTTCATGTTGTTGATTGTCTATGCAAGAAAAGAAACCAAGTGTATGATGTCAATATAATGTTGTGAAGGTTCGGCTGCTTCTAGTACGTAAGGCAATATATCACTATTTGATCAAAGTGAGTTCTATCGGAACATAAACTTTTGAAGTGAGAGAAAATTATGTCTGATGCCATAAATAAATGACTTATCAAATGTAAACAGTTCAGTGTATCATCAGTCTCTGTTTGAAAATTCCAGAGAGAATTTGTGATGTTTATAATATTTTCTGAGTCTTGCACTTAACTGACAGCATCATTCCATAATCAATGTAATCAGTTCATATTTGTTTACAGTTTACTGTCATGATACACCAATTCATTTGTAACCACAAAAGTATGCGTTGAATAGTTTTAGCCACTGAATATCAGTGTATATGAATTGAAGGTAAATCAGAGCAGTTGAGCGTCAGAATATATAACTGCCAGATTTCGTTTCTCAGTATGACATTGTGCTGTGAACAACGAAATTATGAATTTGCGATTTCGAAAATATTAGAGAAGCGTGTATTTGTTGAAATGTGATTGCTTATTGTGTCTTAGCTTATAATAAACTACTACAGAATAGTTCATTGCATTATACACATCACACGTGTGTTATGCGTTCGGGACTAATATCTTAATTCGTGACATGAAATCAAAAATATTCATCACCTCAACAACAAATCGTGAAGCGACAACTGTCCCAGGAGATGTGGTAAATATTAAGTGATATTTCGTGCATGTCATCACACGTGTTCACCACGTGAAATGTAGTCTAGAAAATTATCTTCAAGTATTATTAATGAGACAAGAATCATCGCATTCCTCAAGGTTTGTAGTGACACTGCATCTATTGATTTACTAAATAAAACCATTTTGACAAATTTCATAATCAAATCTTGCATACAAAATATCCCTTTGATATTCTGTTGCATTGTGGATCAACCACAATATTTTGCATTGATACAGCGTAAGGAGTTATACAAGTTGTATTTTCACAGTTTAACATTGTGATACTTTCAATGAACTTAAATTTGACCGTAAGCTCAAGCTCAACGTCAATCACATAAAATGAGTGCATATGATCTCATTTTTAGACAGTTAGCTAAAGGTCATTCAATCAGCCCACTCATGTGATGTAATTCATTTAATGACTTGCCATATTATGTCATACACGAACTAGTGCAGTCATTTATTTTGACAATCATAATGGTCTTCTGTATAGTTACACTACGAAAATCTACATAATTATAATCATCCGAATAAACGTTTCCTGAATAATGTGACATGTAATTGTCGAGATGTACTGGATAGCTTACTGGTTGTGTTGAACAAGTAGGACCTAGTTTATTTTTGTGGGCCGATTATCCTCAACACCATTTCAAGTTTTGAATTACCAAGAAGATTACTTACTGGTATGAATTGATGATAAAATACATGACGCTTAACAACAGTTAACGTCAGTTCAATCACTTCTCTCAACTAAGCTCCAATCGTGTTTGAGATTTGTCATAGTATGGAATGCATGCATGTTTGAAATTTGTGGAATACCTGTTCAAGTACAATCATTTATAGTGTCGATATGTGTCACCTGGCTTTTAGATGATAGGTGGCGTTAGACAATTGAGATTGAATGATGGACCGGTGAATCTCGGTAATATGCAAAGAAATTACTATTTCATGTTAGAGAAGCTGTTGATGAATTTTATCAGCATTTCGACGAAATAAACACGCCAGTCCGTACAAACTAAGTCGTACAGTTCATCGTCATTTAAAAGTTTTATTATCCATTCCTTTTTAATTCAAAACTGACTGAAGGCAACCATGAAAATAGTCTGATGTCGGTTCACAAGTTCAGAGGTTAGAATCCTTCCACAACATCTGACATTTTAAAAACTAACCATCGGTGAGGTGTTGATGTCAAACTCTGATAAGTCATATTATCGAACTAAACAGCCAACATACGCGTTGACGTTTCGAGTGATTGTTTCAATCAGATAACTCGATAATGTATGTCATTGAAAAATAATATTTTCTGTACTCAAGATTTTTTGATTGCATCACAAGATAATGCAATATATGTGGATGTCACTAGTAACCTCATGTTTGCTTTATTCAATTGAGATTTGTGTTATAATTGTTTACGTCACGTTCACTGTATCTAATCATCTGATCTTTGTGTTCGTGTCAAAAACAACCATTATGAATCTGATCAGATTTGTGATAACTTGATTAGATGAAACTGACAGTCTCCTTCAAAAATAAAAGTATAAAAGCAAATGGGTATGTGATCCATTTCATTGACGTGATATCGTAATCTAAAATGTAAGTTATTCAAAGATTCAGTATTCACAATAAGTTTCAGCAGCTTTTTGAAATTTACATGTAAAATATGAACTATAACTGATGTACAACTTGTCACTAATACGAACATTTTTATATGACAAAACGTCATTTTCCTTAGAAAAATTATTCATTATCTGGTGGAGTTCACCACTCAGAGTGTATGAGTGTAGTGCAATGTTGAGAATCGACTGAAGTTAGTATTTTGGACCGTGAGAGGCCAAACTGGTTATCTTAACTTTAAAGACATAACATGATTCTTGAACTAGTCAAGGTTTACCACTGCTCTGGAGATTCATACTGGGACAACAAGTCAAATCTACTGATCTTGGATCTCCTACAGTTGTTACCAGAACCCTGTCTTTGACCCAACCTTATGAGTTGAACAATTTCTACATTTATCTAGCAAGTATTCTCTGTATAGTAAAAGCTGTTCAGTATATATTACGATGCTTTACTAAACTTCATTTCAGCAATTCACTCGATGCATTAGGCAAAATGGAATCAGGGTTCACCGTATGAAACAGAAATTTATGTATTCGACTAAGTGAACCTGGAAAACAAAATAGTTAAATAACACATGAGATATGTGGGTTGATTCTCTCAGAGGTTTATGGAATAGTGGAAAGTTGACATACGATAAAAGAGTTCCGTCAATCTTAATTATATTCTGAGCTAACATATACAGATGGAGCAAAAAAATCGGTTTTTGCTTTTAGATTTTAAAGAGAGAAAAGTCAAACAACCAACCATTTTTCAATATATTGATCTTGACTAACATATATCAGACGATATGTTGTTATTTTTATGACTTCTGAATCCAAAAACATGTTATCGTTGTGAGAATTTGCATGGTCTATAGACCACCGTTTCTGTATCTCACGTTGTCAGTATAAAACATTAAATCATCCGCGATTTTTTGTGAATATCTCACTCTATACGTACAACAGTCTCTAAACTGCACGTTTGTCAAACTTTTATTTTGCCATACAGACAAATATATCAAAATAATTTGAAGCTGAATAACCTCCGAATGATGATCAAAAATACATCCGTTGTTGTTTTAATATTCACAACTCTACCGCTGAATGCTCACAACGGTATGCAAGGAAAATCATCATGCAAAACCTACTTTAATCCAAGTGGGTTATTCAACAAAACCCTTTTCGATTTCACTGATACTAAAGACAAAACCGTATTTGAAGGCTGGATAGAGTATTCAGATAACGTTTAACGATCTAAAGCCACGCGTGTACCACTTCATGGACAGGTAAATTTAATATACAAATGCAACTTAACCGACACCATGTTTAGAATTATCAATCAGTCATACTCTTCTATCTACTCAACTAACGGCCAAATGGATCAGGTTTTTCTGGCGTCTGCAAGATAGTTATTGATCCGGTTTGGCCAGCATATGACGGTGTAGTAATTGATCTTCATAGACAAGGTCTGAATACTTCTTTCAAACTGATCTTCTATGAAAACTGTGTGGATGTACAAAATTGTGTATTATATGAGTCGAATTTCGAGGTCATGGGAAATTCAATTATGAAGAGTCATTCAATATGTTTTCTATCAAATGTTTATAGACATCTGGCGTACGACAACGAATAGAACTACCATTTAGCAGCTTTACACAACACTGTCGTGAAAGACAGATGTCCAATCGACCACCTTCAAATCTAAACCAAATATCTGGATTTGGAATACAAGCATATACAGGTAGAAATGGGACTAAACAGAACGCTGGTGTTGGTTACATCGAAAAATGCACCATTTCAATATATAATGGAGTCCGAAAGCCAAATTAAACACACCGAGCTTATATGGAATTTCGCCAACTTGATATGTAGCACTTATTGATAGTATGATAATTTTCATTTTTATTAAATAACTTGGTCAATAAATATCACATATCCATCAATGAGAATTGACTGTTTTCACGGGTTCATTATGGTTCACGCGAACGTCATTGAAGGTAAACTGTGACGTAACTCAGATGGCTGAATAGAAATGCATTCAAATAGTTGAGAATATTTCCTGCTTACCTCGAAGTAACTGTCAGTTGTTGTGTACACATAGAACAACGTTTACTTTCGTGCACCAAACCAGTTTGTGAAATTTAAAACACGATATTCAGTGAAGAGATCACTTTTGGAGGGACTTATTATCATGTTGCATATTTGTATACAGATATGAAGATGTTTTCCATAAACGTACTGGTTTCGTGATGAATAATTGAAATGGTGTAATAGTGAGGTTATAATACTAGATCACGTAATATGGATAAAAACAATAGACCTAATAATTTATCATCGAGTCATCACGTGAATAAACAAAGATGATTAACATGTGTATGTAAATAGAGATACACTTATACGGTGTTTCACGCTTATATATACTACTGCTTATTGTCTTTATGTCATCGTAAATACTGTGAATGAATGATTTTCCCTAACGAAATCCTAGACGTTGATCTGGAAATCATTACGATGATTTTCAATATTAGACAAGCACAAGAAACAACAAGGAATACCAGCGTGCATTAGTGTGTGTGGGAGAGGGATGGGGTTGAGATCATAGTGGAAATAAAGCATTAATCAATGAATTTTAATAATCTTGACAATAATGTAAAACGAAAATGTTATAAGTGATAAATAACAATCGTAAATGTCTCGACCAAATTACTTCTGCTTCAGCATTTACCTTCCTGAATTCAGCATCTACTGATCATTGTTGATAGAGATCAATAGAGTATCTAATAGTTAAACTGGAAGTATCCGATTGACAGTGATGATCAAAAGATGTAGACGTTAATAGGCACAGCTCATAATTGAGACACGAGTAAGCATTTCTTCATTTAACTTTTCACATTTCCTCCGTATGTAACCTGGTTTTTATAGAAATGTTTAATGTAACAATCTGAAGATTCGAAATTTTTTCCTAAAATCAACAGTAGACTTATTACTTAGACCAATTTATTATTTGTCTTGTTCTGTGAATGTTGTATACTGATCAACTAAACACGTTTCTCATTTCATTTAAGCTATTAGCTCATTTGAAGTAAATCTTCTACAAACAGCCTAGCTCGTTATTGTATCAACAGTCATAAGTAATTGAATTCCAAATCACAATTCAATTCTGATGCCCCATCAACAATATCAAACGTGAATTTATAGGTTTAAACTGATAAGGTACTGTATCTGACTACAATTCATAATAATGACTAGTCGCAAATTGAATTTCCAATTATTACTATATTATTAAAATGTAATTGGTAGTGCTAATAATAAGTCAAGTGTAAATCGACTACTCACATTTGTTTATGACACGATGAGTACATAGACGATACACAGAATCACTTCTATTGATATAATGAAAAACTCAGTAGTAAAGGGTGACCATTTCAGTTGACTGAGTCTGTCGATTAACAAGAGATTAGTTTCGCATCACGTCGAAATATTTTCAGGCACTTTGATCATTAAAGATGCCATAGTTAGTTGTAGATTAACAACACCTTAAACAGTCACATCTCTGATAATTCAACTTGCCAACACAGTGAAGTCAGAAGTGAGAAGCTGGGAGGTTCAATAGCTTGTTTTTCAACGCTACAACATGCATGGCTCAGAAAACCGAATAAATGACAAAGCAAAATAAAATAACAATTCCTGAAGTTCTAACTAATATTTCAATGAAAATTACTGAATATCACATAGGCAGACGATCTTTTATAATAAGCAGTGATCCTTCGGCTATACTGACTTAACTATTCAAATACAATAAATACACTTGCAGTCACATGTCCGCACCCACAATTATGCACTGGCTCTCATTTCCATGAAGTTCAAAAGTGAAATAACTACCAACTAATATCGGTTAGTTAACCACGAATAAATAATGTTTTACCAGTTACACTATTTATTGTTAACTAAACCACCGTTAAATAGGTCGATGCATTCACAAGCCTAAACGTGAACAAAACACCTCTGTTTTTACAATTACAATTTAGAGGCGATACGCCCAGTGAAATATCCCGTCTAAAGTTACGCAGATTAATCTAAAGAGCTTCTAACGCAGGCGAACTACAATCAGTGTTTTCCACACATGTAATGATTATTCTGTTGTTGAAAAAAATTTTTCTGAACTAATCACTCCTTTCTGTATCCATCAATTCAATCGCATCTGTGCAGCTTGTTGTGTAAGTAGAGCTTTTCTGGGGATTTGTATATTCGGGCTCGTGAACGCACCTCAGTGTGGTTAATCAAAGGTGTAGTTGAAAATGTTAACAGTTCCACTTTAGCTCATTTAATTCAGATTTGACACACTGCCAACATGGAGCAACATTTTACAACAATATATCGTGTTAACAGTAGTCTACGCGATTCCGTGGTACTGCGATATCTGTAGACGTGTGAAACAATTGCTATTCCGATCAAGACACCAGAGCTTTGCCACGGAAGATATATGTTTGACCGCTCCTTTTACCCTGGCCAAGTTCGAGCCTAACTAGTTGTTAGTCAATTGACTGATATGGCGTCATAGTTGCTCTAATGATAAATTTTGTATGCAAAACTTATCTTATCTACACACCTTATTATGATTGTAATTATAACATGTGCTAATCGTTTTCAGAATTGTATTCAGTGTCCAACCAACATCAATAATTCGTGCACTATACATATAATTCTGCGTATAACACTATTCTTGATTTGTAATCACATCAATCTCTCGCACTCCCTGCTGACCATTATTCATTATCTATTGCACATTGAAAACAGAAAGTTCGATGAAGGGATCTCTTTTCATCGAATCTATTTTCAAGCTGTTCAATCGTAAACGTATTTATGATGATCGTTTTTCCTCCAAGTACTGGTTTTGTGAAGAGATATGAGCAAGAAATAAGCAAAATAACGCAATGGACAGATTGCTACACTGGATTACGTAATGTGGATAATAACAATAGACCTAAGAAGTTAGCA